AAAAAAAAAGGGCACAAGGATTCTTCAATAAAGGACTCAGGTCTACTTGAAGAAGTGTTCTTGTATGTCGTGAATAAAACCAACGTCATGACAACTCAGCCTATTTTAAAGAAGATACTAATAATTTTTCATCCCATTATAGTATTCACTTAGTTCCAGATTTTTTTTTCCAAATAAAGATGTAATTTGAGAAACATAAGTAAATTCAATGATATCATTACAGCCACCTGTAATGGTCAGCTAATCTGATTAAAATGTGAAGACGAACTTGGCAACTCCTTCAGGCAGCAGTTAAATCTCCCGTGGAGTTTGTGAGCATTTCTTTTCACATGAATTCACCACAGTAAATGTCTAAGAATCAGCAGACTAAACTAACCTTACTTAATTCGTTACTATGCATGAATAGTGCAATCTTTAAAGAAAGATAGCTTTTTAAAAGAAACCTTTAACTATCTAGAAAAAAGATGGAAAGAAAAAAGAAAAAAGATGGATTTACTAATTCATCAGTTAAATATTAAAATTCAACCAGAAGCTAGGGTAGAGGGTCTTGTCTGTTTTATCAGAGTAGCTCTGAGAACACTTTACCACAAACCGACATGATCTAAATTTCTTTGACCTCATACACTTTCACAAAAGACATATTCAATACTCTGTATTATGTGCTACCGAAGTGAGCACATGCGTTCAATACTCTGGAGAACATCTGTGTCAGCAGTGTCTCCTACAGATTTGGGTAGGCCTGGATCTCCTGTCTCTGTGGCACTTATAAGGGAATTCTATTTCCCAGTCAGCCTTACCACAGCAAGAACATGTGATTAACTTCTGCACAAGGAGTTCTTAGTCAAATGGGCATTTGTCTCTGCTGACCTACAGCACTAAACTACTGGTTGAAGACCTGCCTGTGCCACTTGCCACCATCATGACCACCCTGAAGTACAGTATCACCGGATAGTGCACACGACTCCATGGAACACAGCACCAGAGACATCTGTGAAGGACAGTGTAATGATTTGGCAGTTTACCATACAAGCCACTTATATTCTGAAGTGGCATGATGCCTCACTATTACCTAGTCTGCCCTGTCTAATAAAGTCATATAAATTTCAACCCTAAATTTGCATAATATTAAAGCTGCTATGATGTATCTGTAGAAACAGGACAGAAAATCCTGGGAACAGGCAGTATGTGAGATCTCCAAGTGTTGCCTCCACTGTTCCCTGAATGTTCCATGAAGGTGTGCATCAATAGACCAAAAACCAGAAGCGATGGAGCAAGCAAAATCCTACCTGAATCGAGGTCTCCATTCCCATTAGCTGAATCGACATGCTTTTCCACAGAAGAGGAGGAAGGGTCTTGCATATTGGAAACTGACAGACTGCTCTCCATGCCTGAAGACTTGATGTTCTTTTCCCTTAATTCATCATACAAGAAGAATTATCTAAATGCAACCAAAAGAAAAAAAAAAATCAGAGCACTTTTAATTATATTAGTCATATTACCTTGATTCTAGGCTCTCTAGAAGTGATATATGGCTAGCGAGATAGCTCAGCATCTAAGGTGTCCCATCTAGGGTTTGATCCCCAGCACCACATGCAGCACCAGCCCAGTGCGGCTGAGCCTGCCAAAAACACACACACACACACACACACACACACTAAATAAAATTAAAAAAAAAAAAAAAAAAAAAAAAGATATAATCCTATCAGAATTGTTACCAACTCATTACAACATTTAGAGTGCAATATAATGTTGATAACAGAAAATATTGGAATAAAGATGAGTGTTTTTCCACACAAGGTAAACCACAAAGGTCATAACAGTAAAACCATTTAACATAGGTAATTCACATCTCTAATACAGGCTTGTTCTCCACCAACAAATAGGACTTGCTTCAATCCTTAATTCACCATGGTGACCTTGAGCAAGATACTCAACTTAGTAAGAAGTCCTCATGTGTCAAAAGTGGTCTGATATCAAAACCAGCCGAGTATCAATGTTTGCAAATAATGTGCTCTCTGACAAATTAGAAATACGTGCACAACTTTCCATGACAGTACTGCCATTCCTCGCCTGCTTTCTGACATCACTGGAAGGGATAAAATGCCCTCCAGTTCCCACAAATGAGCTCACAATCTGGCTCACTGAAGTCAGAGCTCATGAGATACCAAAAGCCATCATGTCTAAGGAGCAGCCACTCCTGGCTCAGAGGGACAGATAACAGCTATGTGATATTTTTAACCCTTGCATTCATTCACTGTTCCCTTACATTACACACAGAGTACATTAAGTTAGCAAAAGGACAAAGATAGATGAAGAAAAGAATACAGTACATCTACACCTATCAACAGAACACTGTACGGCTTACATTCTAATGAAGTATCATTTAGGAATACCACACCCTTCTTAAAACATGCATACACAGAGGTTTTTAGTGCTATTTAGTTTATATCTGTGAAAGGTATTTTGAGGTTTTGTCGAAACCAAAGATCCATAGAAGAGTATTAGTCATCTGTGGGAAGGCAGGGAAAAGGCTGAAAACGAGTGGCAGAAGTAGCCAGAAGAGTAGACAAGGACCAGGTACCCAGCGCTGGAATTCAGTTCACTGCATATTAAATTACCTACCTATTGCATACAAACTTATCAGACACTGGGGCGAGGATACAAAAAGCTGCTTCTCAATCAAAATGCAAAGAAATAAAATATCTCTCTTAGAATAAGTGTTATAAAAAATACCTTGAACTGGTTCATTAAACAGCAATCTAAGCATCTTGTTTCTACAAAGATAAGTTCATAAATAAGCAAACAGAATGACAATTAAGGACATAGAACACATTAAACGATGAGATGGTCTTTCACTCACTCAACACTAGCACAGGCTGACCATGTTCTTGTGAAGCAAAACTAAAAGCATATGATCTGAGGAAGAGAAGTCAGCAAATACCTTGAGTCAGGGCTGTCCCAGAAGATGTGATACTTACGTTTGTTTAAGAATCACGTAAATTAGTAAAGTACACCTGTAACAGGTGTACTTTAAACAGGCAAGAGAATCGCAAGTTCCAGGCCAGTAGTATAGAGCATAGCCAGGCCCTATTCAACACATTAAAAAAAAAAAAAAAAAAAAAAAAAAAATCACAGAAAAGACAGGTAAATACCATGCCTAAAGATATACTTACACCCACTGCAGCACTTTGCAGGGAAAGAGAAAGCAACTAAAAACATTCTTAATCTTGGGCCAGTGATACAGCTCTGGGACTAAGTGCCTACTTAGGCAAGCGCAGGGACTAGGGCTCAATCCACTGTGCAGGCTCCGCCCCCAGGCATGCTGAGCCAACCACTGAGACTGGGCATGGTGGTGCACGCCTGTAATCCCAGCACTGGGCATGCTGAAAACAGGAGGATCACTATGAGTCTGAGCTGTGTAGTGAGACCCTGCACCAAACACATTAAAAAAAAAAAAAAAATTCCCCATACAACCTTGTATCTAAGATAAGGATATTTAAAAAATAGTACAGACAAAAATTACCTACATCTAAATCAAAACTGGGTTTGCTTTCTTCTTAATAATCCACAAGTGGAAGTTTTTCATTCCCTCATGGGTCACTGGATGAATACAGTTTCTGCAAGCTTAAGCAGAAACATCCCAGATAAGAGAAGCTATTGAATGGACACATGAGTTCTAACATTACACAAAGTACAAACCTGGCAGACCTAGCAATGTTCCCCTAAGGCTGGCTCACCTAACCCAGGACAGTTTGCCACAATGACCTATACAATAGTGGGCCGAACTGCACTGTCCTTAGAAGGTTCCTTCAAGATCTGTTACAACAGGGGCACAAAAACCTGTGGACAACTGCCACCTCTCTTACAAAACTGAACACACTTCAGAAACAGGCCTAAAAGGCAAACCTGACCTAACCCCAAACTTCAACCATCAGGACCAACAGAAAGGAGTCTCAGCACTGTAGCTCGGCATGGAGACTGAGAGATTTCCTTCTGGGGGCTTCACTCGGCACCCTGAGGGGACTGTGGGTGCTACACCTGGGTAAAGCAACAGTATAGTTTCCAAGTCCCAGACTAAAGCCAAGTCAGTGGACAGGTGAGCATGGATGGGTGAGGATGCACCGAGGAGGAACGGAACATGAAAGTAGTTGCTAGGAACATGCCCAGAGGAGATGAGGATAAGACGAAACCAAAGATCCAATAGAAGCACTGGCTAAAGGGCCTCAGGAGGAGTGGCAGATGGTGGCACACACCTGTAACCCCAGCTAATCAGGAGACTAAAAGGAGGCAGATTCAATGTTTGAGGTCAGCCTGGCTACCTTAGTAAAACCATGAGACATCCTCAGGAAGGTAGAAAAGATAATAAATATGGAGAATCAACAGCAAACAGTGTGGCAGGATCATGTGAAAAATTCCAAGGAAACTTAGCATAGGGGGAGGAAAACAGGATCATGTGGGCCCACGCTGTCATTCCTCCTCCTTACCACCAAGAGGTCTCCTACAAACGTTAGGCACTGTTCTAGGCACCAGAAGGCATGTGGGACAAAACTGAACAAAATTTCTGCCCTAGATTACAAGAAAGAGCTATATTTTTTAAAATATTAGGAAACTATACTAGCAGAGTCTGCTAGAGGATCAGTGCTATACCCAAAAGAAATAGCAGGAAAGAATAGGAAAACAATGGAAAAGAATGATAATTATTTAGGTGGTGGCCAGACAAGACCTTGGGAAGTGACAGTTAAGCAAAGGCTTGGGTTGGGAGGTGGGCAGGAGAAGGGGGCTACGAACAGGGAAAACAAGCTGAGCCCACAGAAGAGAATGGTTTCCAACATAAGGAGCAGAACTTCAAGTCACTCTGCAGGCAGGAGTGGCAACTGCAGGATGCCATTCCAGAAAGGGAAGAGACCAGAGCTCTCACCAAGGAATCACTCCTACTGGGGTAGCCAGCCAAGGGCAATGTGGGTGGATGGGGGGCAACGTGGGTGGATGGAGGCAACATGGATAGATGGAGGGCAATGCGGGTGGATGGGGCAACCCCAGACAGAAGCCAACTAAACAGGAAGGCAGAGACAAGGGTCAAAACTAAGACACAGGAAAAGAAGGAAGGAAACAAGATCAAGGAGCGTCTGAAAGGTATAATCAGCAGAATGCCATAGAAATAATCCTAAGAGAGTGCAATCTTCACAGCATGCAGTCACAGCTGTTAGAATAAACGACTTCACTTTCCACAGCCAGCTCTCAGCAACTAATGGAACTCATAGAAATAGATAATTCTGGGGGAAACATATTAAATGTAAGAATAACATACCACTTCACAAGCAATTTCTATTGACTTGCTTTCTTGAAAAATCTGTTCACTTTAAATGAGGTGTGTGGGGTTGGGGGGTCGCACTGCTGACAATCGATCCATTTAGCTTTGCAAAATAAAAACAGGATGTTTTAGGATGGACATATAGCTCAGCGGTAAAGTGCTTCCATAGCAGCGTCACAAAAAATAAATAAGACCACACAAAAAACAGGATATTTTAAAACAAATCACTTTCCTATCAATTTAAATGGCTACTTGTAAAACAAAGCATATTTCTTTTTTTTTTACGTACTAGTGGCTAAACTCAGGGTTTCATTCATGTCACACAATTACTCTACCATTGAACGCCACTCCCAACCCCCTTTGGATTCTTAAAATACACTGTATATAATTTCAAGGCTGAAGTAAAGCCACCTACTAATTGGAGCAAGATTTTTTTCCAGAGACATATGAAGGTTCAGAAAACTGGGCTTTTAAAGGGTAATTTGTTTATACAATAGGCTTTGTGATTTTGTGCAGATTTTACTATAACTGGCACCTCTTGTCTTCTGTTGACGAACAACAGAAGTACTGCACTGGAACTTCTTGCAAAAGTTGTCTTTGCCTAGTAGAAAAAAAAACATTCACTTGAAGAATAAGGAGTAATGAGGCCACTGCTTGGCTGTGGCATAAATACATTTGATTCAACCTCTATTCCTCAATTTCTCATCAGCGAAATAGCAGAGCTTGATTGGCTCCAATCAAAAGTCCTTTTCAAATCTAAAGTGATATGAATTTACTGGGTACTTTTAGTATTAATTGTACATTTTCTCCTTCAGATTACCCATTTATCTGAACCAAATTTAATACAACAATAACCATTCTCTTCCAACCCAATAATCCTCCCTTCTTGCATCTGGTGCACATATACAGAATAGAATTTCATAACACGCCAGGCAAAGCCTTCCTAGGGAGAAAAAGTGAGGAAGAGTGCTCATTTGACTTTACTATAAAACTAATCAGAAACTATTGGGATTTTACTGTCTATTTTGAATGACAAAACTTTCTGTCCCAGAGAACAACCCTCTCAGGCCCCCCTCCAGTCCCTCTCTCGGACAGGAGCTTTCTTTCCCTCAATAGATATATGCTGGTCATAAAAATAAAAATAATAATAAGGATAATAAAACTTTCTGTACCAGCCCAGCCCCAAATGGTAACCACTAGCCACATGGGGCTTCTGAGCCCTTGAAATATGGCTAGTGAAGTTAAGGATGTAAATTAAAATTTTAGTGAATTTAAATGTAAATGACCTTGGGCCAGGGAGGGGGAGATAGCTCAGCTGCATAAGTGCCTGCATGGCTGGCAAGCACAAGGTCCTGAGTTCAATCGCCTGTACTGAGAAAAAAAAAAAAAGTAAATGGTCTTACGTGACAGGAGGCTACCACACTGGGCAGCCTAGCTAGACCACTCCATTGGTTAGCCACTGCATTTGCGGGCTTGGAACATGTCCTAAAATAACCATCAATTCTCGGCTCTTAAAATGTTTTAATTTAATAATGTTAGCTTAATTAAAAGAGAACACAGAAAATTTAAAACTTAAGAAACTTCAGAAGGAGATTTAGCTTTCCCCTAATACCCCTACAATGACTCTTGGCAAACTCCCTAATGTACTAGACTTTTACTGAATGTGCTGTAATATTAGGTCCTTACAATTTCAAGGGAGATACAATCTTAGAAACTATGAATGTCACTCTAAGATACTGCTTTTCCCTTTCCTTTAAAAATCCAAGAAAATCACTTCACCTGAAAACTCTTATCAGGCACAAACTTTTTCTGCAAAGGCAAAAAAAAATTTATGATTGTAACTATTAATAAATTCGTTAAGGATCAGTGGTTTCAAGGACCTTTACCAAATGGGGAAGGAGTTTGCTAAAGTCTTCACAGCTCTTCCATGTTCCAACTCTTTATCCATCTGAATCTAACTAGACGCTACAGAAAGGTAACCTGGGACTATGAAGTAAGACATTGATTTAAATTCACCAAATCAATCATTTTAAATAGAACTCATGGGTAAACAATATAAATACCAAGGAGAGAGCCACCGCCAGAAAGCACGGCTGACTTAACTCTCTTATCACTCTTGGAAGGACAAATGGCATTCCACTCAGAGGCTGGAGGTCTACCCAGGTAGCTGCAAAATTATTTATTTTGGCAAAAGGCATTGTCAGGCTTAGACTTATTTAAATAATGTTTCCTTTTCCCTTCCTACAAAAGATACACAGTCTTGATACTACTCTGCCCCAATTAAAACATACAAACAAGTAAACTAAAATCACTTCTAACCCACCACCCAGAGAAAATCACTTTTATATTTATAGTATTGCCTAAGTATTTTTGTGAGTTCATTCAGAATCCAAAATTCTAATCCATTCTTCACCTAACAATACATAGAAAGCATCCCCTTCAATTCTTTGGGAACATGACTTGAAAGTAAATGTGTAATTTTTACTATAAGTAGGGTAACTTGTTGACCATAGCACTACCAATCACCATTAAGTTGTCTGTGTTGCTTTAATTCTTCACTGCTATAAATAAACAGTGCTGCAATTACCATTCTCAACCATCTCTGATGTTTCCTTAAAGTGAAATCTCCCAAGTTAGGATTGTTAGGTATCATTTGTTAAGGATCAAAATATGAGGGCACATCTAAGGAGTGTGACCGATTCTGCTGAAATGCTGTCTAGGCAGCTTTACTCACGTACACCCCAGTTAGCAGTGGATGAGAGATGACTACACCCACTCTCCTCCTGAGTCCTTGTACGCTGTTCGAGTTCATTGTAAACACTGAATGATGTTTCTCTCTCATCCTTCCTATATATTAACTGTACGGTTCTACTATATAGATTTTTAAGAATTGTATGTATTTCATCTCATGAAACAACTTTCCCCCATTTGCCCTTGACATGCAGAAATGTTTTTTTCAACCCAAGTCAAAAAATCAATTACTGGGGCCGGCCAAATAGCTCAACAGATTAAAGTGACTGCAATCAGGTGCAGGGGTCAGGGGTTCGATCTCCAGGCCTGCCATGTCAGTGGTGCACACCTGTAATGCCAGCTCTTGGGAGGCTGTAAACAGGAGGATCACTACAAGTCTGATCTAATAGTGAGACCCTGAACACCCTGTAGGTCCTTCCCTAAAACACACACACACACAAATATCAATTACTGTGCTTCTTCTAAAAATATATTACTGCGCTTCTTAAAAAGTCCTCCCAATCCTAAAATACCAGAAATCTAACTCCTGAGGGATTTCAGGTTTTACATTTAACTTTTGTTA